TAGGTCCTCAAACCCTAAACCCTAAACCCTAAACCCTTAATCTCATACTGTGCCTTCGGGCTCCTCTTTACCACTTTGCGATGCTGTAGCCCACAACCCTATTTTCATTATGAAGGCCCCTACATTAGAGTCGAGGGCCTGGGACAAGGAGCCCCTCGTCTTGTAGCATCAGACCATAAGCCCCTAAACCCTAAACCCTAAACCCTAAACCCTAAACCCTAAACCCTAAACCCTAAACCCTAAACCCGCAAGCCCCTGCAGCTTTAAACGGAAAGGGTTTTGGGTTTTGGGTCTCTCAATACCACTAAACCCTAAACCCCCAAACCCTAAACCACCAGTCCATTTATGGTCCTCATCATGAGGCGGGCGTACAGGGGCCCTACTCGTGAGGTTGCGGTTTAGGGCTGAGAAATCATATACAAGCCCCTAAGCCCCAATCTAAACCTCGACCCTGAGCCTTTTGTCGGCCCAAAATTCTACGCAAACGGAATTGCCTTCTTGGAGCAAAAATCAGAAGGAGGTTTAGTGTTTAGGCTTTAGGGTTTAGGAGAACAACTCCCTTATAAGCAAAACAGTAGAGAAACCAGGACTATGAGCCCTAATCCACCTTATACCCATGGTGGTTCCCAACGCCTGGACTCTTCACGAGCCCGATTTGGGAGGGTTTTTAGGCAAGGGTGTACCTTTGGCCCAAAAGACCTACCTTCTTAAGGAACTGTATATAGAAATCGTAATAAGGAGCCCTCAGAAGGTAGGTCTTTTCGGCTACAGGTCGAGCTTTGGGCTGAGGCTTGGCAGGGTTCAATTGCTTGTCCGGCTGTGAGGGTTCAGGTTTCAGGTTTAGGGTTGAGGCTGAGCGGCTTCATATGTGTGGGGTTGAGGGTTCAGGGGTTCAGGGGTTTAGGGTTTAGGGTTTAGGGTTCACAGTTCAGGGTTTAGGGTTTAGGGGTTATTAGACAATCATCTACATACCTCTTATGGTAGCTTCGGCTAAATTCCTTCACAAGAAGCCA